TGTCTGAGTGACTTAAAATCAACGAACATCGTATGAGTGTGAGTTTCACGAACGAAAGAACTGCCCTTGCCTGTACTCGAACTATCATCCTTCTGGGTACCAGGTTACGTACTTGAACACTGGATCACACCAACTCACAGCAGGCCAAACTGCAATATTATTTTATATTGACCGATTATTAGCGATATTTATGACCAACAGAACATCCACCCTTGTAATCTGCTGCAGTGGCTGGAACTATGTCAACTCCATAAAGGTTATTCTAGTATATGGACAGGCCAGTTCATTCATTCATTTGAAGTTTCATTTTTATCTTATCACTTATTAACCCTGACTATTTTTTATATGATCTTGTGTGTGCCAGCTGCTTGTCCTATTCGTTGCGTGTTTGTAAGTAATTTTGATCTGACTAGAAATATTGGGTCACGCTTGAATGAATCGAGTTGGCTCACTCGCCTTCTCCACTGCGCGTCATTTCGTCTCCTTCACCTCGTTTCCCTGATTGTCTATCTAGATCAATGAGTGTATGAAATATGCGTATTTAAAATCTGTTCTCGTATTTGACTTATATAATTCCCGTTGTTCACTAGCGCGGTTTAGGTCGATAATTACAAGTTTTGATCCTCGTACGGAGGACACATACAACAAGTCATGAACGATCATTTGTGCAAGAAGTTAAGTGCTACGAGACAAGATAACTGGCTAATAAAGTATATGACATCTATGGAGTATTTCAGAATATTGACTGATATTCAGCCGACATCGATTGAAAGTTAAACATTGACAGAGTCAGAAGTTTTTTATTACGCTGCAGAAACCGAGCTGATATGTTCTTGTTTCGTAAGTTGGTCAGACCGACATTCATATAGAAATCGATCCTAGAAGGAAACTGATGCAACACCTTAGTTCGATTGTTTAAGAGCTGTCCGAAAACATTTTGGCAATATCAAGACTTCGTAGCTCAAGTATTAGTTTATTTCCCCATTTTGCTCAGACATTATATTTCTTATCGCTTGGTACTGAGTGTTGAAAGATTTATGTATTTGATGAAGAGAACCTATTGAACCATTAGTCCGATACTTCTATCGCCTAGACGAGGTGTAACCACCAGCACGAAATTAGTGCACTCCATCTAGAATTAATTTCTTGGCCAAAAATTCGGGACCATCCAACTAATTCATCCAGATGAAATGAGAAATCTAGATGATCAGCCTCAATACTAATTGTCTCCCAGAATTTGTCGTTATTTATAAAGAACAATGCTGATGACGTAAGTAGTTTTAGTAATTCGTTGATGTGGAGGAGTGAAAATATGGGACCTAAGACAGAGCCGATTTTAATCGGTTTCGATTCAGTTAATCTTCAATCCACCTTAACCATCGGTCTCTGGTCACACAGGAAGCTTTTGATGCACTCTTCTACACCATCAGTTATTCCAAAGCTCAAGAGGTTCTGCATGCACCTTGGGTGGGAAGCATTATCAAATGCTATGCTAAAATCAACGGACATCACATCGACGGACAAACCGTTGCCTTGCACTACCTTCTAATCTTTTCTCACAATTAATAAGCTTATTAGGTTTGAATGCTGACTTCAAAACCCATGCTTCTCAAGCATTAACATATTGTATAATCCTGAGTGACCTAGTAATTTAGCCACAATAATTTTTTTGGAGCGACTTAATCTCTATGCTTGTTAGACTGACAGCTTGGTAGCCAAACATGACCTGTTCCCATAAGTAAATATAGGGCCAAATATAGTCCTTCTTATCCCAAGAGTGTTGAGTTTAGCGAAGGTATATGTTAAGCAGTATCGTGAGTGGTTCTGAAAGTGTCCGTGAGGGATGAAGGAAATCGCAGATGTAACACACTAGGAGCTGGAAACTTACCATGTCTGAGGTTAACACGTAACTGGATAACACATTTTCCAGTCTCATGTAGTGGTGCTAGAGATGGTATCTCAGTGGTGTGGTTGTGAATAGTATTGTTAACGATGTTCACATGGCAGAACTCGCTGAAATATTCTGGTGGGATCTCAACATTGTCCGAATCTGTATAACATGATAACTGTTCTGATTCAAGCCCGGTTTATTATCACATGATTTATTCGTCAATCGAAATACGACTTATACAATCTTAGCACTGTTGCAAACCAATGCCCGTCCAACTGAGTCCAGAACACCAATAACAGATTCCACCATGCGAATCATTTATTTCAAACATACTTGGCCTATATACCAGCGAAACAGACCGCATCACACCATAAAACAAGAAATAACATCTATACAAGATCAAGTCAAAATGTGGCTGTGAACGTGGGAGACTGAAGTTAATAAACTGAGTATAGTTTAAGAACAGTAAATCGTACAATAATAATAATAATCTGTAGGTCAAAACGAAGCTTATAATAAGAGGAATATAGATAAACACAATCTAGTCACTTAATATTTATACAATAAGTATATAGTTTCAGTATGTAAAGTAGAGTAGGCTTGATGGCCTGTGTTAGTCCTGACAATGATGGTCTGTCAGTTGATCCAACTTTCTTTTGAAAGAGTTGATGGATGGAGCCTCAACCGCGTGCTCAGGTAATGAATTCCACTCGTTTATGATTCTGTGTGTAAGTTGATAGTCAGCTGACAAGTAATTTGTTCTGGGCTTGTGAACATTTTTGAGTGTTCTCGTAAATTCTCTGTTTTGGAAGACAAGAAAAATGAGGGTATATTTATCACTAAGCACTTTGAAGGCTGTAATCAAGTTGCCTCTAGTTCTCCGATATTATAACGGGAGTAGATTCAGCTTGGCAAGTCAAGCATCCTACGGCAGCTTCGCTATTCCGGGAACCAACTTAGTTGTTGTCCTCTGAACCTTTTCCAAAATCTCACTGTCTTTTCCTAAGCAGGGGCTAGCCGCTTGTATGCAGTACTCAAGTATAGTACCCACGAACACTGTATACAAAGTCAAAAATGCCGACATGACTAAAAGCCGTACGTATTGACCATAAGGTTCTAAAACCTTTGGCGGCTATTGCACGGCAGTAGTCTTTGAGTCTTGGCTAACGATGACCTCTAAATTACCGTGTGTCTGTAAAAACAGGTAGCTTAGGGTTATTCTGTACCTTGATGACTGATATGCATCATAATACACCTGGAAGTATTTGTCAGTGACATTCAGATTTGAAACCATTCACATAATTTCCCCAGTTCATTTTGAAGTTCTAAGCTATCACCTTTACTTTATATCGCTTTCCACATCTTGACATTGTCGGCATATAGCAAGACCGACGATGATAGTAGACGGGGAAGTTTATATACATTCAAAAGGAATAACACTGGCCACAAAACTGTGCCCTTTGGCACTCCACTAAGCACAGTTTCTCAACTAGACAACCTGGACTTCACTCGTACTCTTTGTAGGCGCTGAAATAGGAAGTCTTTTATCCACATCAATAGATTACCCCCATCCCCGACAATTCTTAATCTATACAACAGCCGGTTGTGCGCAACTTTGTCAAAAGCTTTACTGAAGTATATATAGGCTACATCTACAGGTAACTTTTGGCTCTTAAGAGCGCACCAGCATTCACGAGCGACTAATAAGTTCGTGAGACAGTAGTGGCTTATTTCGTAATCATGCTACTTCCCCGAAAGGATCCGATTTTCATCGAGGTACTTAAACAGCTCCCTCCGAATAATCTTATTTAGGATTTTAACAACCACACTAGTTAGGCTAATGGGTCTATAATTCTCAGGTTTATGTTCCATGCCTGGTTTTAAGACAGGACTTACTATGGCGTCCTTCCTGTCGTTTGGTAAACAACCCTGGGTCGCAGACAGATTAAAGCGTATACTTAAAGGGTTAGCAACGAAGTTAGCTAATTCCTTTAATAACCTAGAATGCCGTTCATTGGGTACCGTGGATTTGCCTATGTCTAGCTTATTTAGCAGACCAAAGACATCGAGTTCTTTAATGGTCACGTTGTCTGGTGTTTGTGTGGACTGACTGGAAGGGTGTTTCTATGGTATGTACATGCCTAAAGTAGTTTGAGAATACTTGAGCTTTATCAAAGTCATCCTCTACTAATGATGAAGTAGTATTGTCTGCCCACAATGCTGAAATATTTCCTCTTCTTTTTGTCCTTTGGTTTATATAGGAATACAAGCGTTTAGGATATTCTATGGATTCCTTGAAAATTTCCTCTTCACACAACCTTCTAGACTTACGGAGGGTCAAGGAACATGTATTCCGAGCTTTCCGATACTGGGATTTTGTTTCATCAGTCCTCAGTGACCTAAATCTACCCCACATTTGTCTTCTCTTACGGAGAAGGATGTGGACTTCCCTACTGAACCATGATGGGCGAATTCTCTGAGCCCTTGTTGTAGTCTAATGGATGTGGGGTGCAGTAACTTCTAAGTATAAATTTCGAAATACGTCCCAAGCCGTTTCAATTGAGAACTCTAGTTCTTTTGTGCAATCTACTAACGATATTGAGTGTACTATGCCTTGTACATTTGCTTCCCAGACGTTAGGTCTGGATTGAGCCGACGCGTGATCGTGTTTGACAGTTATATAGAAGTCAAAGTTCAGAACTTCATGATCACTTCTTGCTTAGAGGTGGCATGTAATCGAGGTTCGTAACCTCATCTTCATAATGCATCAATATAAGATCTAGTAAGAATGATTCAGAGTTCGGGTCGTACCTAGTCGTCTTTGCACTCATAGCACTGAATGCCGCTCTCAACGATTTTGGCAATTGCTTTTCTTGCACTAACCAGTCATCGAACAGAGGTTACTAAAAAGAAACTAAATACAATAGTACCCTGAGAAAAAATGATCTGTGACGAAAAAATGTGGAACCAAAAGTACTAACAATTACAAGAGAAAACGAAGTACTCAAAATTATCGACGATAAACTACTTTAGAAACAAAACAATACTTTTATCGAATACTTTAACTGAAATAAACTCAATTGAAATGTAAACGGTAGTCTTGATACGTAATAAACGATCAAAACAATAAAATATAGTCAGCGAGGAAAAATACTACTTTCCTTTTAAATAGCGCACGCGTATGTTTAATATTAGTCCGTTAATAATTCTCAGAGGTACCCATAATTTGGTTTTCACCAGAATTTAACGATAACTGTTAGTTGCGCACGACTCCTCTGGTGTATAAAGTCATGGTTTAGCAATTATGATACATGTTCTAAGTCAATATGTGTCGATTTCGTTTGATGTTGTGCATGTGTGCTCTGAATAATAGTTATTGGTAGGCGATCAAAACATTCACTCAAAGTTGTAAGCTCTGTCCACTTGGTTTGTGGTACGTTAAAATCTACAATGATAAGACAGTAGTTAACCTTGCCCCATGTCCGGATAAAACTTAGGACAAAGTTATCAGTAGGGAAACGCAGACTACAATTTATTCCCCCAGTAGTCCCTGATAAATATTTAAATTTGATTATACAAACAGCTGCCTTACGTGTGTTACTATCGTACGTCTGTGTTGTTCTTGATTGTGCACTTAATCGATATCTAACGTATTTGATTATCCCTTCTCTCTTACGACCTATAACTGCCACTTCTGACACATGCATCTTGAGATAATTGTGGTACATTCTAAATCTATGATGTGCTGAGTTTCCGAGAGAATTATAATAGACACTTAGCCTTCCATAATCAAACTCGGCCCCAACACTTTGATTCCGAAAATATGAGGGTTCGTGTAGCACACAATTAAGGTGGTTGAAGAACATCTCATTCTGTCTATATTGGTCTTTTCCAGCGTCCTGGAAAAGAAAAAAATGTAAGTGCGTGTCGAAATACACTCGTACGCTCGTAAAAACACAAAGCATGCGAATAAAAGGAAAATAAACTTATGCACACGTAATAGCGTAATAAAAAGGTTTTCATAATATATCCACAAAACCCATCTGGTATGTTTTACTGTGTTGTTTTTTCTTTGAAATAAAAATATATAAGCATATTAAATTTGTTTTTTTTAATTATATATAGTACAAAGGAGAATCAAGACGGTATGAAATGTCAACTAGTATCCTACGTGCAATAATCGTAAATGTTCCGGAAATCTTACTTTTCATCCAGAACGCGTTGTTTTATGTTTATTTTCTGATACTGCCAAAGTATCATTGTGTGTGTTAACTGTCGGTTGAGGTATTATAAGTGTGAGAGTCGTATCTTTCTGCTGTACCGAAGGAAAATTGACATGGATAGGGTTTCATTCTAGATGCTGATGCTGTCGTTCGTTCTTTTCTTATGGACTATATAGTACCTAGGTTCGCGCTGAAGAACTTTGAAGGGTCATTCATATGCTGATTCGAGAGGTCGTCGATGTGAGTCTCGACGAACGAAGACGTGTGTACTACATCGTGAGTCAGGTTGAACGAAAACATCAGTTGATTGAGGTCGAGTGAAAATAGGTTTAGCTGAACGCATTGCATTTGTAAGCCTGCTCGTGTAGGAGGTTAGATCCATGTTCACTGAAGACGATGAAGGATTCAGGAAGTATCCTGGAATTAAAAGTGTCGTTCCATAAACGAGTTGGACTGCAGTGTATCCAATGTCAGCTTTCACTGATTGCGAATATCTAATAAGACGAGTGGATGGGCATCAGTCTAATGAGAAATGTTAGCAGCCGATAGTGGAGATTTTAGTTGTCTGTGAAAGCGTTCTACCAACCCGTTTGCTTGTGGGTGGTAGGCGGTCGTTCGGAAGCGAGTGAGTCCTAATAGTGTGGTCAGACAACGAAAAAGTTCAGATTCGAACTGGCGTCCACGATCTGTAGTAATGGTTGAAGGGCAGCCGAAGTTTGCTTCCCATCGTTCGACGAAGGCGCGGGCCACTGTTTCAGCAGTGATGTCCTTGATAGGTACTGCCTCTGGCCATCAAGTGAAACGGTCTACGCAGGTTAAAAGACAAGAGTATCCATTTGAATCTGGCAAAGGTCCTACCAAATTCAGATGAACATGGACAAAACGAGCATCAGGAATTTTAAATGAACCTAAGGAAAATTTGTTGTGTCTAATCACCTTAGACTTTTGGCAGCTTACACAGGAGCGTGCCCACTCCCTCACGTCTTTATTCATACCAGGTCAGCAAAACCGTTCTGCTATAAGCTTGATGGTTTCATGAACACCTGGATGAGAAAGATTGTGCAAAGTATTGAAGTTGGTCCGTTAGCGGTTTCATAGGTGACGCGCATTTCGTTTTGAACTATCCACTGAAACTTACAGGGCCGTTAAACGTGCGTGATTCGTTGATGGTGATCGGTTTTGGGTAATCCAGGATGGCCACCACTTTAGTTCTAAGAGATCGAATTCCTTGAGCATCAATAGTGTGTCCTAGGCAGCACAAGATAGACATACATTGTGCAGAGTGACCTGACTACAACTGAGTGTCTGAAGATAACAACCTGAAACTTTATTCCTACTACTATAACTAACATTAAGATAATATATATAAAATATACTTTCATCTTTAGTCCAGCCATAACAAAAGCAATAACAACTCTTTTGTTTGCAAATTCTGTTTAAATCTACCACAAAATCATAAACATATTCAAATTTACTTTGAAGTAGATTAATTAAACTTCATTTTAACAAACTATTTCTTTTGTTTTTATATCAAACAAAACCAAACCAAAAATATATAAGAAAATTGCAGACAAAAGAGTTGTTATTGCTTTTGTTATGGTTGGACTAAAGATGAAAGTATATTTTATGTATATTATCTTAATGTTAGTTATAGTAGTAGGAATAAAGTTTCAGGTTGTTATCTTCAGACACTCAGTTGTAGTCAGGTCACTCTGCACAATGTATTGTCTATGTCGTTAAAACAAGTTAAAATCTTACGAAGATAAGGCTTTTAGACAAAATTATTAGCCAGATTTGAATATATTTTTTTCTTTTCCTTTTAAAAATATTTTCATTTAGTTGTCAAAAGTTACCATCTTCATCAAATATTTCGGTTACAATTAGAGATTTAATTTAAGTTAATACGTGTTCAGACTTTATTCATTCCACAACATGCTCAGATAAAAACGTAGTTTAGGTTGTAGCTTTCAAGTAAGAATTGAAAATAAATTACGAACTGTTTAAAACTAGAGAGAACTGATTAGCTGTTCTGTTCTACTATGAAGCAGTACATATTCATGTTCAAATAATAAACGTCGGATCTTCGTCTCGTTGTGGGACCGATGATATTTAACCTCTGAAAGCATATTTAATCGTTTACATATAATAACTGTAATTTATTTGTAACTCACTGTGGTTATAATGCAACTTAAATTTCAATTGACTTTATAATTTATAGGTTTTATATGACTCGCTCATTAATTCGTATAGACGGGTTTTAACAACTATAGTGTTGTCCATGGTACTGAAGAAAATTGAAAACCGGAGATTGTTTCCTTTCGTTTTGCCGATAACATCATAAAGGACAGTTAGGAACGAACATGCGAACAGTTAGTCACAGGCGGCAGCAACAATTATTTCAGCTAAAAACACGAACTTCGGCTTTGGATATCTAGAAAACAAGTCAAAACAAAACTGATTACCATTTTAAAACATAAGACTAGCCAGCTTGGATGAAGAAATACATTGACTTGAGTAGAAGCAGCAAAAACCCAAAAAACAATGATGATTCGAAACCAATTTCACACCAACATGTAAAACATTACACTAACTGCGGCATTTTAGCACACTGCAACATTAAATTACATAACTACACAAAAGAAATAGCTAAAAAAAGCACAGAACGAAGAAAGCCGACCGACATTGCTTACAAAGATGGCGGATATAATAATTCCCGCCTCATTCTGATTGGTTGCTAAGCTGAAGGCCACATTTACGAAATTGAGTTGCGTTTAATAGCAGCCCTGAAAGTATTTTCGTTAAAGCATTTGAATGCTTGATGAAGTGACCAGAGTACTCAAAATACTTCGACAGCTGCTGATCAGCAATTCGCATTTACTACTGAGTCATGTCTTACTGCTACTCCGCAGTTCTTTTGTTTCTACATGCGTGGAAGTTGTGCACTGTTGATGGTACATTGGTAACTATCACTGTTTCCGATGTGCACACCTTAAAATGCTAACCACCAGTTTACACTATTCATTCTATTGTGGTTTGTTATGGCGATTTGGTGTACCAAACCATCCTTCGGATTTCTCATGTCTGAGTGACTTAAAATCAACGAACATCGTATGAGTGTGAGTTTCACGAACGAAAGAACTGCCCTTGCCTGTACTCGAACTATCATCCTTCTGGGTACCAGGTTACGTACTTGAACACTGGATCACACCAACTCACAGCAGGCCAAACTGCAATATTATTTTATATTGACCGATTATTAGCGATATTTATGACCAACAGAACATCCACCCTTGTAATCTGCTGCAGTGGCTGGAACTATGTCAACTCCATAAAGGTTATTCTAGTATATGGACAGGCCAGTTCATTCATTCATTTGAAGTTTCATTTTTATCTTATCACTTATTAACCCTGACTATTTTTTATATGATCTTGTGTGTGCCAGCTGCTTGTCCTATTCGTTGCGTGTTTGTAAGTAATTTTGATCTGACTAGAAATATTGGGTCACGCTTGAATGAATCGAGTTGGCTCACTCGCCTTCTCCACTGCGCGTCATTTCGTCTCCTTCACCTCGTTTCCCTGATTGTCTATCTAGATCAATGAGTGTATGAAATATGCGTATTTAAAATCTGTTCTCGTATTTGACTTATATAATTCCCGTTGTTCACTAGCGCGGTTTAGGTCGATAATTACAAGTTTTGATCCTCGTACGGAGGACACATACAACAAGTCATGAACGATCATTTGTGCAAGAAGTTAAGTGCTACGAGACAAGATAACTGGCTAATAAAGTATATGACATCTATGGAGTATTTCAGAATATTGACTGATATTCAGCCGACATCGATTGAAAGTTAAACATTGACAGAGTCAGAAGTTTTTTATTACGCTGCAGAAACCGAGCTGATATGTTCTTGTTTCGTAAGTTGGTCAGACCGACATTCATATAGAAATCGATCCTAGAAGGAAACTGATGCAACACCTTAGTTCGATTGTTTAAGAGCTGTCCGAAAACATTTTGGCAATATCAAGACTTCGTAGCTCAAGTATTAGTTTATTTCCCCATTTTGCTCAGACATTATATTTCTTATCGCTTGGTACTGAGTGTTGAAAGATTTATGTATTTGATGAAGAGAACCTATTGAACCATTAGTCCGATACTTCTATCGCCTAGACGAGAAATATATCATATTCATGATTTATTCCAATATAAATTAAAACACCAAAGTTAAGTACGATTTAAAATAATTGGTACCATAAATACATATTTATTACCTATATCAAATGGAATTTATTGCTCTCCTGTAACATAATTATTACATCATGTTCCGAAGTGATATTTTATGCATTAGTCAACGATTATTTACGTAATTCAAAAGGCAGGTTAGTACTTTAGTTATGAATAAATAAATCTAGTTAAATTTCTAAAATCTCCACAAGACCCCTTCTGATAAGAATCATCTGCTCACCAGTGACTGACTCCAAGAGACATTTCCTGAAGTTCTAGTGAGAAGCCGTGACTAGTGCAGTTCAACCTAGTCTATTGTGGGACATCAGTTCACTGAAGACAATGGTGTACGGTGGCGCGATTTCGTGGATTGGTTGAAGTTAGACTTTAACACTGTTGGATGCCCGCTCAATGGTCTAATGTTTAAGCGATCGCGCGCGAGACCGACAGGCCCTCATGAATTCAACTAGATAAATTTTAAAAACAACTAAAGAAATAATCTTTTTACTTATGAGGGTATTAGTTTTGTTCAATATGATTCACAAAAATGAAACTTGAATTATCGAGTAAGTGTATAACAATAGTTTCTCAAGATCGATATAGTATATTAGCCGTTGATAAACATATATGGTACGTAGTTATACACTTCT